GTTTGGTTTCTCTCTTAACTCGACTACTTAAAGGTGCTGTCTCTTGTATCACTGAAAGACGACAAAATTAAAAATTACTATACTCTCAGGAGATGGGAGATTTTGTCGCCTTTCCTCATTTATATTTTTTTTTCTAAATCCGATATTTTTTTATACCTACACTTAAATTACAAATTTTGCCGCCCTCTAGATTTGCCGCCATGGGCCGCGGCCCATGTGGCCACCCCCTTAATCCGGCCCTAAAATTGGGTACTAGTTCCGGGAGATGGAAACGCCGAAAACCCCTTCACTTGCTGACAATCACGAATATCCGTGAAATCCGACAACGCGGTGTGAGGATAGCGACGGGAACCGAAACAGTTGTCTAAGCGCGATTAAGTCCTCTTGAAGGGCCCTCGAGGAGCCAAGAGGCCCTCGACGACTGGCTACTGTCGACCGGGTCGGACGACGCCGAGTCAGACCGACTCGAGACCGGCCCAAGGACCCCTCGTCCCTCATTCCCGAGTCCGGAAAAAAACACATATTGACACAGAAAACACCCGAAATACTCCAAGCGGGCACGTAATATTCCACTCGACACTCGAAACTGTAACCGAGGTCCGATGTTCCCCCAGGAAACGCATACCAGACTCGAGTTCCAGGGAAATTACTCAAGGCGGGGGCTGGTTTGGGATTTTTACCCTCTGACGTCACGTAAGTAAACAATCTTAGAAGAAGAAGAACCTAGGATATTATGAATGGAGAAAAATATTTCGGTTCGTAGGACATTACAAAATTTCCGGTCTCGGAGCTGCACTGAAAATGAAATCTTTGCGTTTTTACCAAGGTCTGTTGGTACCTTTACCATCTCACTTTATTTACCAATTATTGGTAATTTTACCAAGACAGACTGGTAAGCTTACCTAAAAACCGGTATTTTTACCGTTTTTTTCAGGTAAGAATATCACTTTTACTGGTAATCAATTCCCGGTAACGTTGCCATTTTATCTCGGTAATTCTACCACAGTCGATAAAAAATATTGGCGTTTTTACCGGGGTCCAGTAAAATTACCGAGAAAGTCAAAAATTTTACCGAGATTTCTCGGTAAAATTACCAATTCCATAAATGGTAATTTTACCTAGAAAAAACTGGGATCAAATAGAACCCTGAATTCTTGGTAATTTTACCCTTTTCTTAGTAAATACACCGAGATTTTTTTTCAGTGCAATTGGATTAAATTTTACAATTCGGAACTAAAATTTCTGGCTCATCTGTAAAAGCACGTACGTGCATAGAGAAATTAATGCTACATATATTGTTTCTGAACAAAGCCAGAAATTGTTCCTACTTGCAAGACCCTAGTCCAGTTGGTAACAAAAGTGAGATGGTAAAGTTATTACCATCACCAGTTTCACTAGTTATATGCCACCAGATTCTCGAGATAGGATTACCTCCATTAATCAGTCAGGGAAAAGGTCCCTAAGTATTGTACGAAGTATTTCAATTTGACGTATTCATGATAAAAAGAGGTATGTGATTTGCATGGGATTTTCATTTAGAACACAGTTCCTTTTAGTATAAATACGTGCAATTGGATTGCATTTTGCAAAAAGTAACCACTAGCATTGCAATGATGCTAAGATTGTGCAACTTCAGCTTTTACAATAAAATTGCGGAAATCGTGAAAAACTATGAAATTTAGATGGTAATTTTTGTCTTAAATTTACAGTTTTTAGCGAGTAAAATAGAAACTATTGATGGATAATCGGGTTTTTCCTCCAAGACAAAAGAAGTTGCACAATCTTAGCAACATTGCAATGCTAGTGGTTCCTTTTTGCAAAATGCAATCCAATTGTAACTCAGGTGCTGGTTGCCGAGAAGCAACCCTCCGCGTTCCTTGGGGGTTGGGCCGCGTAGCGGCCAGGGCCATCCTCCGGTTTTCTTTCATTTTTCCTCGATGCAAGAGTGGCCGGACTCAGAGGCCAAGTGCAAGTGCAAGTGGACGGGACGAGTGGCGCGCGCTGCAAACAAGGAGTTGTGTATTGAGGCGGCATTAAATCGCAAATCATGCGCGACGTCACCTCCGTGATTTTATGAGCCTCTAATAGCGCTCTAAACTTGCTAGACCACGTCAGGGCCCCGATAAATAATTCCCTCTAACCAGGGAGGGAGGCGGAGACGAGGGGGGGGGGGGCGAGGATCCGACCGGAATCCTGTAACGAAGGGATTTTAATCTTCTGAGAAACGCTCCCATAAAGAACTCCGCGTCCAAAAACTCGAGCGGTTTCGGCCCACGCGCGAGCGAGCGGCGGCGCGGTCGGATCGGGGGAAGAAAGAGTTCGATATTGCGAATCGTGCGACGTGACGTCATCGAACTCAACGGTTGAAGGAAAAACTAGGGACATTTTCAAAAATTAGTCACATGTCTCGCTCCAAGAAGTCGGATGAAGTAAGGGAATTTTAATATTTTAGTTCACTCACCATCCTGAAATGGACTGCATTTTGCAATTGGACCGCGTTAAGCAGAAAAGAACCAAGCCACATCAGCTGTTGCCAAATTTAATTGGGCAATCTAATTACATGAAGACGATTGTGCGGATTTTTGTGCAAATTTCTATGAATTTTGTACATGGCACGGGGCAAATACCTCAAAATTTTCGACGTAATCCGCACTAACGTTCTCTTGTGAACAATTCAATTGCCCAGTCAAATTTGGCAAAAGCTGATGTGGCTTGGTTCCTCCCTATTAAACGCGGTCCAATTAGGGAATACAATTTTTGGCTCATTTATAAAAACACTTATGAGCATAGGGAAACTAATGGTACAGGTACATACATAGGTAAACCATAGGTGGAACGTGACATCATCGAACTCAACGGTCGACCGGGTCGAACGGTCGAGGGAACAACTTTTAGAACTGACCGATTCAATTGCATTGCAGGTGTCTGAAATTTGATGAATTTCGTGTTTAAGTGGAAACTACTGAATGAACTGAACACGAGGATACCCTTGGTTCATGAATTGAACAATTATTGAAGAAGATGACAAAATGATCTAATCTGCTAAAATATATGTATTTAAAGGGTTAATGCCGCCAGATCTCACTTTTACATCTATTTTTATACTATTTCCCAAATCAGAAAATAACTAAAAAAAATACTGTGAAATTAGCTCTTAAAGCACTTTCGGATGAAGCAATAAAAATGTGAATGCAAATTCTCCATTGACCGATTGTTCCAAGGTTTCCCAGACTTTCCAACAACTTAGCATAACTCCCAAGACTTTCGTCGGCAATTTTAACGGAAACGCGACGGACACAGTTTCGAACCCGGGTCCCGGAGCTGGAGAGCAAGCGCAGCGCCCGACGGACACTTGTCGGGGGACTTTTGACCACCCGCAAGACAGCAGTGATACCTATTAGTACTCGAGAGCTCGGTACACACACCTAACACAGCTCCGCTCCGGAGTGGAAATTGAATGTGTATTTACGACACTCCACCCCCCCCCCCCTCACCC